TTTATTTAGTCCTGGTTTAGTTCTGTTGTAGTCCTGGTTTACTCTTGGTTTAGTCCTGGTTTAGTCCTGATGTAGTCCTGGTTTAGTTCTGTTGTAGTCCTGGTTTACTCTTGGTTTAGTCCTGGTTTAGTCCTGATGTAGTCCTGGTTTACTCTTGGTTTAGTCCTGGTTTAGTCCTGGTTTAGTCCTGATGTAGTCCTGGTTTAGTTCTGTTGTAGTCCTGGTTTACTCTTGGTTTAGTCCTGATGTAGTCCTGGTTTAGTTCTGTTGTAGTCCTGGTTTACTCTTGGTTTAGTCCTGGTTTAGTCCTGATGTAGTCCTGGTTTAGTTCTGTTGTAGTCCTGGTTTACTCTTGGTTTAGTCCTGGTTTAGTCCTGGCTCAGTTCTGGTTTAATCCCAGGTTAGTGTCAGTTTCGCCCCAGTTCAGTTGTGGTTTAGTTCTGATGTAGTCCTGGTTTAGTCCTGGTTTAGTCCTTGTTCTCTTGTGGTTCAGTTGTGGGTGAAGTCCCAGTTTAGACACAGTTTTGAAATATTCACATTATACTGACTCTATTGCTGTGTAAATGGGTTTATAGCTTGAGGTAGCCAAAGATTTAGCTTCAGACAGAACAGTGCCTACAGCTAGAATCACACCGACAGGAAATGTTGATGATAGATACTGTAGGCTCCACAAACCTGTCATATTAATCTGTTTAATCTGATAAATGAGAGTTTAATTTTAGGAGTTTTGCTGTACAACTGTCAGACTGCAGAATTGCTGACCTGGTTTATGGTTTATATCTCTAATTCCTGGGCCTATCCACATGAAACAAAAAGTAGTACAAAGTTCCACCTCTTCTCTGCCAGTGTAAATCAACAAAAGTTCAATTATGTTTTCAAAATATCTTCAGAAAGTGGCGCCATTATCCAACCCCAAAGATGTGGTCAGCTGACAGGCCTTGAAGACGTAAGAGTCATGTGACAAGTTTGTGGAGTCGATCCTAAACAAATAATGAGAAGATTCAACATTTGTGGATCAGACGTTTGGAGATTTCTTTCAAGAACAGTGAATTCTACAGACCCCTGCCCTCCACCTGAAACCATGCCCTCCCTGAACCAGCGCTTGTAGATTTCATTTTTAGACAGGATCATCTCCAGCCATTGTTGTTTTGGTTGTTTAATAAATGTTTTGGTCTGTTGCCGTGGTGACTCATCGCTGCACGGCTCCTTTCGCTTTCAGACAAACACAGCACAAAGAGGCCATAGCGTTGCAGATTAGCTGATTAGCCTGTGACGCTCTAAAATCATCACCGCTGAAAGGAGTGACCATGTGAACGCACAGAGGGGGGCCGGGACCAGGAGCTTCAGCTTCCTGTTTATAGACGCCATTTTGAGGACATTTCAGTTTTTAAACTGTAAATATCAATTAGGGTTGTCAAAAAAAAAAAAAAAAAAAGAAAGAAAATAGATTTAATAGAATAGAATAATAATAAATAGAATAGTCATTTGAGCAGGTATCAATACTAACAAGTCCCATTCAAGTATGAGTGGTAAATTACACAGATATAAGTGTTAAAGAATGAAGTACCATTTAATGCTGAAAATCACATTCTTTTGTCTAAAGAAAGTGTTTTATTATCATTGCAGAATCAATTCAAATTCAAAAAAGTTTATGACAATTCTTTATACAAAACATATGAAGAATTGAAATTGTGTTTCTCACTCCCAAGCGTATAAATAAATAAATAATAATAATAAATGGAAAAGTCCAAGTGTTCTTTGGGGAGACGCAGAATCGAATATTGAGTATCGAGTCGATTCCTTAGTATCAAAACTGAGATTTTTAGTATCGTGACACTAATGGCAACGTCCCACATTTTTCATCACCCTTGAATATGTAGGATTTTAAAAATAGATTTCAGATTCATCTGGAGGCAACATGTTCAAACAAGATGGTGATTGTATTGTTAAGAGCACATTACGGAACTTTCTTTCTGGAGGGTTGTCTGTCTCCATGAAAATAGAAATTTGCCTGAAATGCTCCAGAGTGTGACATAAAATGAATTAATCTCTTGCATTTGATTTTTCATTTTAAGACTTAACACTTAAGTCTAGGTTAACTTAAGACGTAGACTAGATCTCTCTGGAGGGACTATGTCTCTCGGCTGGCCTGGGAACGTCTCGGGATCCCCCCGGAAGAGCTGGAGGAAGTGTGTGTGGAGAGGGAGGTCTGGGAGGCCCTTCTCAGACTGTTGTCCCCACAACCCGACCTCGGATAAGCGGAAGAAAATGGAAACTGGGACTCAACACTTGGCCTGTTAGCGTCACTTCAGGCAAAGCAATAACACTAGTCCAGTGAGGTTCATTTGGTCTTCAGATAATTTGTGTTATTATGTTCTTTTTTCAGACCAGAGTTTGTTTTCATACCTGACAGTTTGGACTGCTGTGAGGTGCTGTGATGTTGCTGTGACGTGTCGCTCAGCTGATTTACACAGGTTTTGGTGCGGTCTTCCTGCTGGTGGAAAACACAATATGAACAATACTCGTTCACCCAAAAGATAAAACAGAACCAGAGCATAAATGTAATGTCATATACGAAATATCCTGCATGTCCTGCAATAAAACACATATCGAGGAGAACGTTCAGTCCACGAAAAAAGGAATATAGGACAGAATGTGAGAAGGAAACAGCGAAGGCACAAGCAACAAAACACAAAGCAGAACAGCAACAACTCAAATCGGCCTTTTGTGACACTGTAAAAGAGAGAAGCTCATTCTGGATCGGGAGGCTGAGATGAGGGGCTTTTTTTCCTCTCACACACTTGGGATACTGTCCTGAGGAAGTGGGACTGCAGGTGGCGCTGTCGTCCTGCCTCCACCGGTAGAAAGACAGCACCAAAACCTTTTTAAATCAACTGAGCGACACAACACATCAACATGACGAGACTCTGAGGAAGCGCGCAGGGACAATTAAGCAATGATATTAAGCAATAACATTACCACAGGAAAAGTAAGGAAAGCAAGTGGAGGAGCCCCACCTGAAAAGTTACACACTGAATCTTTAATAATACCATGTTCAGTTGTTCACAATTATCAAAATATGCTACATGAAGTATTGTTTTGTTTCTCATTATCCAATCAAAAAACATAATGAGCTCCTCACGTTGGGTTGCCAGATCCTACAAACTAAATCCAGAGTTTAATCAACCCAAAAGGGCTTTATATAACGTGATGTGTCCTCAGTCTCTGACCCATCACGGACTCCCAGCTTCATGTGTGATTGTGACGTTGTTCTTACACCACTAGGAGCACATGTTACACATATTAGCTTTAAGGTTGATTTCAGCACTGGACAGCGACACAGGCCGAGCCCCACGAAGCAGAGGACAGGACGACAGACGCAGGAAATGACACTGTGTTGAATGGAGTGTATTTTTAGCAGCCTTGGCTAAAAACAAATTCAGTCATTTTAATATGTTTTCTTATTTTAAGTATAACAAGACGTATTCCACTGGCGAGACGCAAATCTCCAACAGTGATTAATGAACCAAACCCGGGACTAGATCAGAGGCTAAACCAGGGACTTAACCAGGACTTAACTACAGACTAAACTAAAGACTAAACCAGGACTTAACTAGGACTGAACCAGGATTAAGGTAGGACCAAAACCAAGACTAAAATAAGTTTAAAGCAGTACCTAAACCAGAACTAAACCAAGGCTAAACCAGGACTAAACCAGGACTAAACCAGGACTAAACCAGGACTAAAATAGGACTAAACAAAACAAGACCAGAGACTAAAGCAGGACTAAACCAGGGATAAACTAGGACTAAAGCAGGACCAAACCAGGACAAGGTCATAGACTAAACCAGGAGCAAATCAGCAGATCTAAAGCACTCCTAAACCAGGGACTGAAGCAGAAGTACAGCAAGACTAAACCAGAACTACAGCAAGACTAAACCAGAAGTACAGCAGACTAAACCAGAACTACAGCAGGACTAAACCAGAACTACAGCAAGACTAAACCAGAACTACAGCAGGACTAAACCAGAACTACAGCAGGACTAAACCAGAAGTACAGCAGGACTAAACCAGAACTACAGCAAGACTAAACCAGAAGTACAGCAAGACTAAACCAGAAGTACAGCAGGACTAAACCAGAAGTACAGCAAGACTAAACCAGAATATGGTTCATATGGCATTAAGGAGATGTGGTGCTGGGCCATAGACAGACTTCATAATCTTAGTTTCAGAGAAGTCTTAAGCCTCTCGTTTGTTCACACATGGCTTCTCTCTATAACGTCTAACATATACTCTTCATATACTGTACGTTTAACACTCATGGTGTAATGGTGCAGTGTTATTTAAGGCTGAGCGACTGCAGCTGTCCAGATGTGACCTCGTGTGTCACTCAGGGACAGTCAGGCTTCAGTAAGTGCACATTAGATTTACTCTATCAGTTATAATGTACGAGTGTGTGAATGTGCTCGTGTATCCAAACAGCTGTCAGTCCCAGCTCCCAGTGCTGGACGTGTAGGACCATCTGATCGATCGCTTCTCTGGAGAAATCACATTATTAACTGGACATGGAGGCAGCATGTGTCTCAACAGTTTGAGCCTCTGTAGAGTAAAAGTTTTGTTCCCTCTTGTGTCCTGTAGGAGGATCCACTGAGCGTGTGCTGCAGTGGTAAGAGAGACGAAGCTTTCTACCACATTATAACAGTGTTCCCTCATCAAAAACACGCCTCAAGACGTTTGAGATTACCCATGTGTTTGACTATTTTACAGATCTCTCCTCAAATCTCCCTTACAGTGCTCCGCCCACAAGCCCACATCAGCCACGCCCCCACATGACAGTTCTCCATAAATATACAAAACAATGACACAAACAATAGACAAAAAAAAACTAAACTGAGACTGTTTAAACATTTCAATACACTGTTTTGGTCAACTCTAGTATTTACACAGTACAAGGTAAAGTGGTGATTTCTTACAGTGTTGTGTGTGTGTGTGTCCTGCAGGGGGAGCTGCTGAGCCCGTGTCGCTGTGACGGCTCCGTGCGCTGCACACACCAGCCCTGCCTCATCAGGTGGATCAGTGAGAGAGGCTCCTGGAGCTGTGAGCTCTGCTACTTCAAATACCAGGTCCTGGCCATCAGCACCAAGAACCCCCTGCAGGTGAGAGCGAGCATTACACCTGTCACTCTACACCTGCCACGCCCCTGCAGGTGAGAGCGAGCATTACACCTGTCACTCTACACCTGCCACGCCCCTGCAGGTGAGAGCGAGCATCACACCTGTCACTCTACACCTGCCACGCCCCTGCAGGTGAGAGCGAGCATCACACCTGTCACTCTACACCTGTCACTCTACTGCCATGCCCCTGCAGCTCAGGAAGTGTCTGGAGGAAACCAGGACACAGGGAGAACATGTAAACTCCTGAAAGGCAAACCTTCTTAGAGAGAGTGCTGTTGCTCAAGAGCCACAGCCGGTGGTGTCACCTGCTGGTTGCCATGGAGAATTACAATAATGTGAATATGGAACATTCCAGGCCATGGAAGAACATCTCCATGAGACAAGAAGGTTTCACACCCTCCAGCAGTAAAGTTCCACAGTGCACCTTTAACCCCTGTTTGATTGTCTACAGCAGTGGCTCTCAAACTGAAGAACTCATGTCCTCCCTGCAGGACACACACAGTTTGAGAAACACTGGTCAACAGATCAGTTCTTTCCATGTGACGTCTCTAGTACAGTCTACTGTACACACACACACACACACACACACACCCCTACACACAGTGTTGGGGAGTAACAGATTACATGTACCGCCGTTACGTAATCAGAGTACAAATTATGAGTAACTGTATTCCGTTACAGTTACTGTTTCAATGAGTGGTAATTGGATTACAGTTACTTTGCTGAAATAAGTGGATTACAAGGCGGTATTTTCCTGTTTTCACATTTTGTGCTACATCCCATTTATTTATTTTTTTATTTCGGTAATTCCACTCATTGCCTGAAGCCCAAACAGAACGCGCGCAATAAGAGCGATGTAAACGTCATGTTAAAGTTGGCGGTGTCAGTCACACAGTGGAAGCAGCAGTGCATTGGTAAAAACGCATTTGTGTCTTGGAAATTCTTCTCCCGATGTGAGATATATATATAAAAAAAACAAATATAAAATCGCCTACAACTTAAATGTGAAACCGGAGCTACTGGCACTGGTGAAAACAACCTGCATAGACTCATAATATCTGCACTACTGTCCTATAGTGACCTGCCACATGAGGGGACACACACACACACACAAACACACACACAAACACAAACACACACAAACACCTTCATCATCGTCATCAACCTGAGAACCCGCGGACCACGTCTCCTTCCGTAGTTACAGCGCGGACACCGCCGTCTCGTGCGCCGCGTGTGGACCGTGTTTTCTCGCGTAAACCGCGCTTCCTCCTGTGCGCCTCTAAACCAGAACTAACACCAGACTAAAACCAGGACTAAACCAGGACTAAACCAGGACTAAAGCAGGACTAAAGCAGGACTGAACCAGGTTTAAACTAGGACTAAACCAGAACTAAAGACCTGGTCTAGACCAGGTCTAAAAATCAGGACTAAACCAGGACTAAACCAGGTCTAAACAACATGACACCTAACAGTAGGTTGACATAATTTAAGGTGATCTCATATAAAAAAAAATTTCTCTATCAATAATATTTTTAATCTGGTGAAGGAAAGGCTGATCTTGTTTACTGTCTTTTAACAGACAAAACCTCTTATATTAAGATGTCGTGGTCTTTGTTTCTCTACAGTTGTTTATTCATGGAGACTTGGGCTCAGACAATTTGAAGACAACAAACAAGAATTTTCAGGATGTGGTTGCTACATTCATGTCGTTTAAAAAAACATGACAATATCAAGTAATCCAAAGTAATCAGATTACGTTACTCACTTTAAGTAATTTAATGGATTACGTTACAAATTACATTTTGGGGTGTGTAATCTGTAATCTGTAGGGGATTACATTTTAAAAGTAACCTTCCCAACACTGCCGACACACACACACACACACACACAGACAGAGACACACACATGCACACAGACACAGACAGAGACACACACACACAGACAGAGACACACACACACAGACAGAGACACACGCACACACTCACAGAGACACACACACACAGACAGAGACACACACACACACAGAGACACACACACAGACACACACACACACACACACACAGACAGAGACACAGCTCAGTCTGTACCAGAGCCCAGTGCAAATGACTCACACTTCGTCCTATTTGGATAAACACAAAAACCACAACATGTGAGTGTGTGGGCCTCAAACACGCACGTGAAATTAAAACAAATAATATATGTCGTAATGTTGTCACGATGCTAAACATCTACACTGATTTCAATACTAAGGAATAGTCTCGATACACAATCTTGATTCTGATACCACAATGATAATAAAAACACTCTTTATTTAAACAATGGACTTTCATTTTCATTATAAGATAACATCCCAGATAACATTCAAAAATGCATTCAAATACAACCTGAGAAGTCAAAGAATTTTAAAATACAATTCTCTTGAACCCCTCTCAAAAGCGTGTGTGTTAGCAGTCGTAGAGCAGACTTATGGAATAGTTCAGATGACCATATAAAGCTTGGTGCACTTTAAAAATATAAAAATCAAATCTTACAGAAATACCTAGAAGACCAGATCCATTGTCTTCACAAATAAACCACGACTATTAACCAAACACATTTCTTGAACATGACCTTTTATTTTGTACGATCATAAACGATAAACTTTTGTGCCTTCGATATCATTATTATTAGTTTGTACAACCATAAACAGAAGAAAAATAAAAATAAAATCCTTACATTTTTCATTTTCAATGTTGTTTATTTTGTACGTTCATAACCGATAAACTTTGTGCCTGTTCATCATCACTATTATTAGTTTGTGCGTGTATGTATATATGTGTTTATATTTGTGTTCATTTTTTTAAACTTCATCCTGCTCCTTTTGAACACCACGTCCCAAATATGTACATGTACATATCCTTGTTCTTCCATATTGTTGTTGTACCTTGCTCAAAAAACAGAACAAAACAAAAAAAAAAAAACATTAAATAAATTATAGTACTTTCTTTTCTATTCATATGTGGCCTTATAATCCCTCAGTGGTCCAGTAGTGTAAACTAGTAGTGATCCATGTGTGTATATTATGTCTATGTGCTCTTCTACTTGTTCTGATCCAGCTCAACATCATTCAGAAACAAATTATCCAAAGTGATCGCAATTATATATAAATACAGATATATCCTAGATAAAAACTCTTTAAGTCTTTTTATTATATATAACTCACTGGTACTGCCCTACGTAACCTACGGTATTGAGATTTGGGGCAATACATATAAGTCTAATACAAATCCAGTCTTTACCTGCAAAAAAAGGCAATAAGAGCATCAACTTATAACGAACCAACCAATGTGTTATTTATAAACCTTCAAACGCTGAAATTTTATGATTTAGTCGACCTTTACACTCTTAAAATCATGTTCAAAGTAAACAACAATCTCCTGTCAAAATCTTTACAGAACATGTTCAAAATCCAAAAAAGCCAATATGAGCTCAGAGGCACAGCCATGTTTATTAAAAAGAAAATTAGAACAAACATTATGAAATTTTGTAAATCTGTTAAAGGGCTGGAGCTGTGGAACAACTGTACAGAAAACCTCAAATTGTGCACCACTTTCTTTCACTTCATAAAGAAGTTTAAATGTTTAACTCTGGACAGATACATGAAATATGAGACTTAGTTTGTGCTGTAATACTTTGTTGTTCTGTTACTGATTAGTTTGTTTCCTCCTGCTGTATTTATGAAGATGAACTGGTGTCAAGATGAACGCTCTGACAAAGGAATAAAGGGTAAAGGCAGAATAAGCTTAAGCTTCAGCCTGCACCTTTTCGGTCTGTATATGTTAAATATGACTATTTGTGAATTAATGTCAAAATATACCTGTGACCGAAATAAATAAATACATAAATTCTAAAAACATTCAGGAAAGCTTCAATTCTTTCCTGTCAATGGGCCTTTATTAGTATGGATACCTGCTCACATGAGTAGTTTCTGTACTAGTTTTAGTATTGATTTTATTTAGATCAGGGGTCGCCAACCTGTAGCTCCCCACCCCGTTCAGAATAACTCACCAAGGGATTTCTGAATTCTGTGTATTATGCTGAACAAGTATAATAGGATTAAGTACCATTGTAAAAGTATCATTTTCATGCCTAACTTTGTCCACTGATAAAAGGATAATGGTTTATAGGATACACAGAGGGATAATGCTTTATGTTTTACAGAAGCATCTAACTCTTCTGCATCTAAGGCTCATCAAGGCTCTTATTTATACTTTTTGTTTGTTTGTGACTGCTAAAAGAGGTAGCTCTCTGGTATTTTGGTTTTGTAAAAGTAGCTCACTGGAGGAAAAATGTTAGAGACCCTGTATATGAATACTGTGATAAGCTGTAAAAAGCCAAAAAAAAAAAAAAAAAAAAAAAAAAAGACTGATATAAAGAACTAAGAGAGATTCATCACTATCCACTTACTCAGAGTTGTATTAGAGTGATTCATGCATGCTTGAGTAATCCTGTATTGTTCTCGCCTACCCTCTATCTCCACCCACTTCTTACTTACTACTTACTTACAATGAATATAAAAGTCAAGACTCCAGGTCCCACGTGCGAGGCTCAAAGGGTCACATAAGAAGTGCAGGTATCACTGGTGCCAGGACATTACAATGAACACAGAAAACAAGACAAAACCTGCACATTTACTCCCAAACTGCATTTAATCAAGTTCTTTGTGCCCACCGTTAAATGTCCGTGTTGCTGTGCTGTGCAGTGGCAGGCCATCTCCCTGACAGTGATCGAGAAGGTTCAGATCGCAGCCATCATCCTGGGCTCTCTCTTCCTCATCGCCAGCATCTCGTGGCTCATCTGGTCATCCCTCAGCCCCTCGGCCAAATGGCAGAGACAGGACCTACTCTTCCAGATCTGCTACGGCATGTACGGCTTCATGGACATCGTCTGCATAGGTACAGCTACTGTTAAATACTACTATTAAACTAAAAAAATGAGATTGAATGTAAGGAGCTGATCCATGAGTTAGTTGTTCTAGGTGGGAAGTGCTCTGGTTTTCCACACTTACCCAAAACATGTACAGTAGGTAGGTAAGATAGTCCTCCTGACAGCAGCTAGAAGACTGTCCACCAGAAAAGTAGCATGCTATAATTTTAAGATGCTCTACAAAACAGTTCAAACTAAACTCCGTGTTTCTCCGTCTCTCCTCAGGCCTGATCATCCACGAGGGCTCTTCTGTGTACAGGATCTTTAAACGCTGGCAGGCCGTCAACCAACAGTGGAAAGTCCTGAACTATGAGAAGTCCAAGGACCTGGGGGACCCCCTGAGCTCGGGGGGGAAGGGCGGGGCAAGGGGCGGGCGGAGCGGCACCCTAGGGTCCGGCCTGGGGGGCAGCAGCGGGGGGCAGAGGAGGAGGAGGAGGCTAAGGACTATCCTGGATCAGCACTGCGGCTACACCATCCTCCACATCCTGAGCCAGCTCCGACCCCAGGACCCCAGGCTCGGAGCGGGGGCCAACCGCGAGGTGGTGATGAGGGTGACCACAGTATGAACTCTGCCCAACGAGTGTCCACAAAGGGAGTGACCGAGGGACAGAGGGGTGTGGGTTTGAGATGGTTTGGCTGATTTTTATTGATGAGATCTGAAATATTTGACAAGAATATTTTTCTGACTGGTTTGACTCGCCCCTGCTGCATTCTCACACTTCACCACTAGATGCTGCCTATGTTACTGCCGTCTGATCATGTCTCTGGTTCTTCTGCCATACTAAAGCTGGCACACTGTCAGACAGCAGTAACATCAACAGCATCTAGTGGTGATGTGTGAGAATACAAGCGAGCTAGTCCAATTTAAATCAATAGTCAATAGTCAGTTTAACAGTCTGGCTTCAGTGACCTCATTTTCTACAGGCAGATTATTTTGCTTTAACACTTAGAAAATAGACAAGATAGAAAAGCTTAACATTTTACATTTGTTTAGTTATTACATTGTAAAAAAAAAAAAAAGTATTATCTAGGGATACATTAAATTGGCTTGACCTGAATTCATATTTTATCTTTACTTGAAATTGAAATTGGCCAATGTTCTTTCTTATTCTTATTCTTTGGTAGAATGTTTACTAGAGGATACCAAGTAAGATTAGATGTTCTTAAATCAATTCATTTTAGATTTACTGCTAATATTTCTTTGCAGTGTGCATCTACAATTATTTACTCTTAATCTTAAGGAGAAAATCTCATTTCAAGACAAAATAATCATAGTTTATTTCAAAAGCAAACAATCTGTTTACAGCATTTCACAAAAATATATTGAAACCAGTCACAAACAATGAAATATAAAAGGTGTTAACTAAAAATGTGTCAGATCCACTCAAACTCTACATGATTCCTTCAGGTCAGGTTACCTCGTGTGGACATTCGTTTTCAAATAAAAGCAAAAATGTAAAAATGAAAGACTTACTTTAAACATGGAACTCTGTGGACTTAAAGGGCCCGTTCTGGAGAGACTGGGACGTCTCCTCGACAGAAACACCGGGTGGAACGTTTCCACAACAAACCTGGTGACAAACTAAAGAGTTAACAACATTTTGATTCAAAACTGACAAAATGGACTTTAATACCTGCTCTTGTTAAGACAATTTTCAAAGTATCAATTTCAGGATGCATAGACATTTTTAATTTCAGCAGTTTTTTGCTTTTTTGTTTTGTTTTCTACTCACGTTTTTCATTTTGTACGAATGGATTTTTTGGGATTTTGATGGAAATAATTCATGTTTCAATGCCATAAAATCATTTCCAGTCAAGTATGTGTAAAAAAAATCTTACAAACTTAAAGAGGGGGTATTCTGCAAAATCGATTATTTATTGTTTTTATGCCGAAGAGGTTTTAGATGTCATCCGTGCATGTCTGAGTAATCTAGCGATCTTCAAACTCTCTTTACAGCCTAGGTCACTCATGCTCCCGCTCTGCAATTCTCCACACAAACACGATACAAAACTGACAAAGCTGATGTGATGTTTGTCAGTTTGATGAGCAGGAGGCACGCTGACTGTGTTGTGATAGTGCTCTGAAGGGGGAGTGAGCAAAGGGAGCGCCAGGAACAAAAGTGACACATGTTCATAAGTTTTTTTTCAGTGAATTTATCATTTTCAAAACAATAAAAGGTAATATGGTGATCTGAATATGTTATGTGTAAAATACCCCCTCTTTAAAAACTAATGCTGGTTACAAGACCGCGAAACTGAAAAAAACGTTGTTACCAATGTGAGAGAATCACATAAGTAACAGCAAAATAATAAGTCATTGAAAATTAAAAAAAAAAAAGTTAAAATTCTATAAAATTTCAGTGACACTTTGCAATAAATTGTGTACATTTCACAGGGACTTTTGCATGGGTATCTATAATTTTCCTCCACATTTCACTACATGAAGCACAGGACAGAATTCTAATGGTGCTTGCCAAATGAACACGTGTTGAGGGTTTTTCATGGACGATGGCGTGTTACGGCGTTTTCAGAGACATGTGTGTGGAGGCCGCTGTGCCCACTCCTATTTGATAATAAGTAAAAGTATTGGATTAAAAACTGGGATTTTCTGATCTCTTCATTCAGTGTGTCACTGTTTTTATTGAAGTTCTGGGTTTTTTTACACTCTAAAAGTAAAAGTTACACTAAAAATGTTGGGTAATATGTTCAGTGTGCAGAGGGCCACGGTGGCTGAGTGGTTAAATGCAACATAAGTTTAATGCCCTCTAGTGGAATATTCCAGCAAAGCAAGAGACAAACGTGTGGCCAACCCCCCACCAGGAAAGACGAGATTGGGAAGCAGAGGTGGGACCATGTTGTTGTTTTGCAAGTGTCAAGTGAGTCTCAAGTCTTGGGCCTCTGAGTCCGAATCAGGTCCCAAGACAAGCAAGTCCAAGTCGAGTCTCGAGTCACTGGCCCATGAGTCCAAGTCAAGTCCAAGTCGTCTGTTTTGAGCTTCAAGTCATTTCAAGTCTTTAAATGTAGCTTACATTTTTGCAGTTTATGAACTAAATTGTATTTAAAAAGTCTTTACATTAGTATTTATATAAGAGTTTTTTTTTTCTTTTTAAAATGTCTTGTCCAGATCTTAATGTGAATCATTACAGTCAGAATAGAAAGACTTCACATTTAAAAGAGCTTAATCAGTTATTTGATCATGTATCTGCACTTAAATGGGAGGATCATGTTCTATGTAGTTCCCTCTTTGTATGTAGTTGTACTGTATTGTACTGTACATTACTGTAGTACATTTGAGGATACCACATCACAGTACTTCAGTTCCATCCAACAGAGAAGTGGAGGGACATGGTTCAGTTTGTTCCTGTAAAATGAAGCGTCGCATTTATCAGCTGTAAAGAGAAAAGTATATATATATTTTTAGGAGATGCATCGAGTCTTCTCACGTCACAGGGCTCAAGTCCAAGTCAAGTCTCAAGTCCTAAAAATAGTGACTCAAGTCTGACTCGAGTTCAAGTCATGACTTGCAGGTCCCCAGCTCAGTGTGAAACTTGATGTTTCTTGTAGCTCTGCTGACACAGTCTGGATTTTTTTTATTTCGACATGTATGTTGTTCAAATTTGGAGCACATTTGAAGAGTCTCACAGAAGCTTTATTCACCTGTGTTTTGTTCAGCCTGATCATCTCTGATCTCTTCTGCTGAGCAGGTCTGGGTCTGGTTTATACTGCGATAGGAAACCGCTGGGAGTATCTGACACAGTAACCGAGTAAGTAGCAAAAACTGTCAATGTGTTCTTGGGCAAGACACTTCACCCACGTTGCCTTATGAGTGTGGAGTGGGAGAGTTGGTGATGGAAGGGGCCACTGGAGTCTGGAGTGTGGACTGAATGAATCCAGCACTCAGTGTAAAGCTAAAGAAATCCAATACCTGATTGATTTTTATTCTTCACCAGAAAATGTAAAAGTCTGGTCTCTGAAGAGACACGCCCCTGTCTTTATTTCAGTCGACAAACCTGTAGTACACAAACATTATCCACAGAGTCCTCCTCCTCTTCCTCCTCCTCCTCCTCCTCCTCGTGCAGAGCTGTGGGTGTGCTCAGAGCCTCAGCTTGTGGCGCCCTCTCGTGGTTCAAACGGAAACTCCACACAACCAGACTGTTCAAGGCTGAAGTTAGAAAAAACCCACAAAATAACAGAGTGTAAAGTCAGTGAACAATAAACAGAAAATGCCAAGGCCACTTCATCATCATCATCATCATCATCATCATCATCATCATCACGATGTGCTTATTATTCCAGTCAAGAAGAAATGAAACATTAAACTTTAAATGTAAACTGTTTTTCTGAGAACGTACAAGCCAGTTTACTTAAAAACTCAACTTATCTGTGTGTTGTTCTTGTTAAGCAGTCATTTATTTTTGAGAAAACTATCTAACCAAACTTTTCCTTTTAGGCGAGGCTATTTCTTAAACTTAAAGTGCATTTGATAAATTCAGAAATATAAGTAAGTCTTTATTTATATGGCTCTTTTCACAGACATATGTCACAAAGTCGCTTTACAGAGCATTTTTCATACATTCATTATTCTTTTTCTCCATACCTGGTGGTGGTAAGCTACTATTGCAGCTGCAGCTGCCCTGGGGCAGACTGACAGAAGCATGGCTGCTCCAACCACCACCATCACTCCCACACACTCACACACACACACACACCACTATCATACTAGGCAATATGGATGAAGTGTCTTGTCTAAGGACACAATGACGCCTGGCGCCCCCCTGTGGCTCCTGATTTTCCCAGTGTCTCCATCCAAGTCCTGACCAGACCAGCCCTGCTGAGCTTCTCAGATCTGACAGATCAGACTTTGACAAGCTGGTATGGCCACATGAAATGTGACTAACGGTTTGGTTAATTGACCCGTGGGAAATACTCAGAATAGTTTTTCATCAGTGAAGAGGCAGTTTGTGAACAAAAGTAGAAAACAAAACATGGAACAGGTCTACAGGAAGTTTTAACCATGGATCCATAATAAGACCAATGTAAACTATTATAAACCATTAAAGACCAGTTTAAACCATGGATCTATAATAATAATAATAAGATTTTATTATAGTTCTATGGGTTAAACAGAATCCCTCCACCCAAAATGCAGAGACAAGGCTTTTTTTCTGACAGTATAAACATTGATTAAACAAAACCAATAACAAATCATAATTGTTGTATAATTTAGTAGTTCAATTAAATGTTTATTATTAGGGATGGGACAAGATCTTGTGCCATAAGATTTCACGAGACAAATTGACTTAAGATTTTGCACACATGCTGAAAACGATCTCTTGACATTATTTCCCATGTTTTTACATTTGGATTGAATAAAAATGACTGGCAAGATACATTTTTGAGAAGCTATAGTCACAAAAAGCACTAAAGCACAAATATTCAGTCAAGTAAAATAAAAAGCTGTGAGAATAAAAGTGAGAACTGGATTGAACAATTTATTTACAGTAAATCATGTCATAATCTGGTGTTGTCTCGTTCTTGCAGATCCAGTCTCGTGTCTCGTCTCGTCTTGTGGAAATTATATCTTGTCCCGCTCTTATTTATTATTAAATTATTATCTGCTGCCAGTGTGCAACCAGGAAGTGAAATGATAAACTTCATAAAATATTACAAAAGTAGAAAACAATAGGCATTTTTAGTACAACCTGAAATGTAAAATGAATCATGTGAATTATGTACTAGAGCAGTGGTCACTAACTTTTTTCAGCCAAACATCTACACGCTCGGTCTGAGAAAAGAGCCACAACTACCAACATGAACAGAAATAACCACAACAAAAGTGATCATGTTTATAGTTTCAGACTGCTTTATTTTTGCAATCTTGTGATATTTATCTTCGGAATTCTGGACATAGGGCCTCATTTCCTATAGCCAAAGTGTTGGAGACGTGTGGAGACACTTTTTGAAATAATCTTGAGGAAAATAACTCTTTTCCTCACGTGTTTGTTAGTTTCTGCTTAGACAAAAAAATTACACTTGAAACAGAAATAAAGTCCAGATAATTTACTTATTCCAAAGTCATACTTGTACAAGGAGTCTGTGCTGACATTCCCATGCAGAGACTGAATATTTAAGCCTATACAATGATTTTTATACAAACTATAGTGGGAGGCGACCGTGGTTTAGACTTAATGCCTCTTCGTTGGTGCAGCCAGGCCTCTTGGCACGTTGCACAATCTTATCCAATTGTGACAAGGATCCCCCGGATTCATCTCACTCCCCTCACAGGAGTCTTGCTGCTCTGATCAGGGTGATGAGTCGTGAGTCTGCATATCCCTATCAATAAGTCCTTGCCCTATTTAGTTAATTGATTAGACATATAGATAGAAATAGAATATCTTGTACATGAACTGAACCTATCTCTGCCTCCTTCATCTGTAATCTGGTCCCTGTTTTCTGGGTCATTGTATAGTGAATTATAATAGTACAATAATAAAATATAGCAGTACATCAATAACTGTATAGCAGCACATCAGTTACATCATAGCAGTAGTTCTACACCACCTAAGCCAAGTTATTTATCCTAACAATTATCCATCCAGTCCTTGTGTTTGCAGAGGTCGCTGGTGTTAGGTTAGTGCATGTCAATGGTCATAGTTTTCCTGCAACTAAAAACAGTTTTACCCACTCCACAAAACACCCCAAACAAATCTATTATTACACCAGACTGTCCATGTGAATGTTTGTGTTGATAGAATCATTTTAGAAGTAAAACCATCACTGCAGATGTTGCACCGATCCGCCTGTCAATCTCACGCTTTGTCCTCCCCTCACTCGTGAACAAGACCCCGAGATACTTGAACTCCTCCACTTGAGGCAGGGACTCTCCACCCACCTGGAGACGACAAGACACCTTTTTCTGGTCGAGAACCATGGCCTCGGACTTGGAAAAGCTGATCCTCATCCCAGCCGCTTCACACTCGGCTGCAAACCGTCCCAGTGCACATTGCAGGTCCTGGTTCGATAGAGCCAACAAGACATCATCTGCGAACAACAGAGATGAGATCCTGTGGTCCCCAAACCGGACCCCCTCTGCGCCTAGAAATTCTGTCCATAATGTCTGACTATTGACATGCTCTAGTCTAACAACAGAGACCTCTGCAAATACAAGGACTGGATGGAATATTTCAAACAGTGTCTCCACATATCTACAGTACTCTGGATCAAGAGGAAATGAGACACTATGTCCAAAATTCTGAAGTCCCTTTAAGGAAGACTCATTACAGAATGACAGTTTTGGTAATTGAACTGTTCTGTTTTACACTCAGTGCAAGAAAAAATGTGCAGTTGCAATACAAACAAAATACAAACCACATGCAGTGAAACAACCAAAACAGTGCAAATTTGACCTCAAAACAGCATTAAGAGTATATGGAAAGGGTTCATGAGGAGTTCTGTTATTGTCAAACCCCGTGTGATGGCTGACACTGAGTTTCCTCTGAGAATACTTTGAAGTTTGGGTTATAATTGCACACAGCTAATCTGAGACGATCTGTGAGGGGCCTGTCAGTCCGACTGTTTCTGTGCTTGGATTTGATGATTTTCATTTGTGAAAAGGCCACCTCACACAGACGAGCTGAACCAAAGTAATTCACTCACTTTCACTGCACATTTAGTAAGAAGAGGAAATGCCACATGTCAAATGGAAACACACATGCACTGGTCAATCCTTGAAGTGCAGTTTGACTGAGAATTTCACAAATCCAACTTCATCACAGTTACAGATTGTTGATTTTAGGCTGGAGATCTACCAGGGACACAGAAAAGATTGACCTGTCAATCTCGATCTACAGGTTGGTGACCACTGTATTAAAGGACTGAATGTCCTAACCAGTCCTGTGCACTTTAAAGGTCTTGTATTATGCTAAATTGACTCTTGTGAGTTTTAAGTCATGTTAGAATGTTGTTCCCTCCTCAAAAACAGATCTGTGCTTGTGTTTGTTTCATTCACATGTTTGAATAACTCTTTATTATTAGTCTGTCTGCATCTGCAAAGCTTCAAATACAAAAGAGGCTGTTTTCATGTGAACAGCTCCTGGTACCTTTAGTTCTGTAGAGATCGGCAATTCCAGGACTGAAATGATCCAAATGATTCTAGTGAAGATGTGTGGACTTTAAAAACACAGTGGAGCACTTCCTGTTTTACCACATTACATCACAAGGTGGATTCTGTTTGAGAGAAGAACTCAGCGTAAATGTGCAGGTTTGTGTGTAAACGTGTGAAAGAAACAAAACACAACTCCAGGTCTGTGTGTGATGAGGAAACGACATTAGAAAATTGATCAGAAAATGACTTTAAAGTAACTTTTAAAAATAATATAACGAAGTGAGAAAGGCAATGACTTTTGAACTCAACAAAACAATCAGACTGAGGCATTATGGTGCGACAGAGAGATTTTTATCTGGGAAAAAAGAAAGAAAGCTTTGTTGGAATTTGGGTCACGTAAAAGAAAGAGAGAAAGAGAGAGAGAGAGAGACAGAGACACAGACACACACACACACACACACACACACACACAGACACACACAGAGGTAGAGAGAGAGCTCGGTGTACCTGTCCGTCTGGTGCTTGTGCTGTTGGGGGAATATTTGACTGAAGGTTCCTGTTTAGAGCGTCTTTAAAAACATGGATTCTAACGCATTCAAACGTGCAGGAGACGGATAGAAAAGCGCAAACTTTCAAACGGAGCAATGTTTTCCTTCCTCCGCTCAGGTAAGTCACTTTGTCTTACGTGTTTTAGGTGTTTTAGGTGTTTGGCTGCACGATTTGGGAAAACTAACCGACAAAAGACTGGAATCTGAACACACGCGCACAGAATCCCATTTCAGAACACGTTTGTCCACATGTAAACTACAGTCTGTATCAGTCAGACTGGGGACGAAATCACGGTACTTCGAAAATTGCAGCTTTTCTATTTATTTTATTTTTTCCCCAGAGGACGCATGGCTACAAGATAAACCATCCACTAAAAAAAAACCAAACAGGTCTAACTGAACTATATGTAACTGTGTGTAACTTTTCTGGTGGAGGGTGCGCCACCTGCTTGTCTCCATGGAGATGTTATTGCTTTGCTTAGAATGTTCCATGTTATAGCGTGTTTATCTGAGTGGTGAAAAGTAGGGGATGGCACCAGGCCAAGTAGCAGGTCAGATCTGTGGAGAGGCGACCCTCTCCACAGATCTGACAGATAAGTTTAATGCTATACTGTGGAACATCTGCTAAACCCAAACCCAGTTCTAAATCAAGGCTTTAGCTCGACTAAAAAGGAAACCTGGACTGATTTGTGGTACATTTTTATGATACACTATGATCATAAACAAATATGTGCTGTCATCTTATTACTGTGCCCTTCCTGAACTTTTCCAGCATATAAGTTTTTTATCTCCATGCAGATAAGCAGCTGACAGTTTTTCTCATTCTGAGTTTATGGACAGAATTCACGTGAAGCTCAGAACCTCCAGAATTCTCTCCCTGAGCTGCAGAGGCTGCACTAGCACTGACTCATGACTGGTGCAGGTGCTGGAGTTTAGAGACTGTTCAGATCAGAGACACTTTAGGTCTAAACTCACTGGATTTCACCAGTGAAACTGGCAACACAAATGAGAGCGTCATGTGAGGCTCATTCTGCTTTCTGTCTCACTGTCTGGACCAAAACACCAAATTACAACATAAAGAGACGACAAGTCCAGTGTTTTGAGATTAAGAATAAATCAGCTGTAATTGTCATCAGTAAAAATGATCTTTAATGTGAACATGTTTACCTCATGTTTACCTCTTCTGTGAGCACATACGTGAGGATAGGGCGCTTTTGTTGAGGGATTATGAAATTTAACATTCAAATCTTACCTTTGCTTTAATTCCTTAAAATGAAACATTACAAACAGAGCAACAACATCTCTATGGAAACAACTAGGAATCTGAAAAATTACAGAGTATATCTTTAACTTCAGCGATTTGACTTACATCTCTAAAAGATAATCATTCTTCTTTATTTGAAGTCGTGGTCTTTGTTTATTGTTTCCAGTGAAGAGCGCTCCTCCTGAAGACCTCCACATCGCCCCTCTGCCCCCCCCTGCTCCAACAGCACCCCACGAGCCTCGAGCCAACACGGGAGAAGGTACAGTACTGTGTGTCAGATGCCCTCCCGTCCTCCTATGGCACAATGGACCATGTCACTAATATAAACGATTGGGTAAAAAAAATTAAAATGCAAAAAAAAACAACATTACATTAAGGAACATTATTGCACTGGAAAACACTGACATAAAACTGATCTATCTCCAGTGTTGGGGAGTAACAGATTACATGTACCAGAGTTATGTAATTCAGAGTACAAATTATGAGTAACTGTATTCAGTTACAGTTTCACTGAATGGTAATGAGTTTTTTCTTCCCGTTTTCACATTTTGGGCTAAACCGGGACTAAACCGGGACTAAACCGGGACTAAACCGGGACTAAACCGGGACTAAACCGGGACTAAACCGGGACTAAACCGGGACTAAACCTGTTAGGGAAATCACTGGTCGGACCCAAATATGCAGAAACCAAAAGTTTTTATTAACAAAAATAGTCTCAGAAAGGGGATAGGTACCAGGGGTGGCAGGACGGGTTCAACTTGGCTGCAAATGCGAGGTATGTGGGGATGAGGCTGACCAGAGGCTTGCAGAACTGGTAGCAACGGGATGAGGCTGGCTCCAAATGGGAGAACTGAGGAATGGACAAAAGAAACAGGTAAGAATAAAAATCTTCAGAATGCTCAAAAACACACAAAAAGCCTGAGAAGTTCACCACTGAGTTGACGGAACGATCTGGCACTGGAAAGCAGGTCAGCCGGTTTCTTATTGCAGGAGATGATTACTTGATGGAAACCAGGAGTGGAGCTCAGCAGGTGTGATGAATTGGGGACCCGCCCAGGAAATGCCAAATAAGGAGAGACGGGAAAAGGGAGCAGGGAAAGGAGAGGGCAGAAAGAAACCCTCACAAAACCAGGTCTAAAACAGGACTAAACCAGGACTAAACCAGGTCTAAACCAGGACTAAACCAGGACTAAACCAGGTCTAAACCAGGACTAAACCAGGACTAAACCAGGTCTAAACCAGGTCTAAACCAGGTCTAAACCAGGACTAAACCAGGTCTAAACCAGGACTAAACCAGGTCTAAACCAGGTCTAAACCAGGTCTAAACCAGGTCTAAACCAGGTCTAAACCAGGACTAAACCAGGTCTAAACCAGGTCTAAACCAGGTCTAAACCAGGTCTAAACCAGGTCTAAACCAGGTCTAAACCAGGACTAAACCAGGACTAAACCAGGACTAAACCAGGTTCAGTAAGGTCTGGGCATTTTATTTTCTTTTATCAGACAAAACTTCTTATGTGAAGATTTCCTCATCTTTGTTTCTCTACAGCAAATCAAGTAATCCAAAGTATTCAGATTACCTTGCTCACTTTAAGTAATTTAATGGATTACGTTACAGACTACATTTTGGGGTATGTAATCTGTAATCTGTAGGCGAATACATTTGAAAAGTAACCTTCCCAACACTGACTATCTCACTGGGGAAGGTTCCTAAGTAAGGTTTTAACTTTCTCTTTCCATGGAATCATACTGGTGATATGGCACCTCCAGAAAATGACATAATGTACTTTTAATTTGCATCATGTATTCTTTGAGAACTAAATGTCCCTGTGTGTCAGATGCCCTCCCTGTGTCTTGTTCTGTGTTCAGACGTCCACAAACATGTTCTGAAACACATGAGATTCTTGGATGAGTTTAACAGTTCAGATTCTCTCAGAGACACAACACGGAACCATAAAAAAACAGCTTCTGATTTCTATATACAGTATTTTTTGTTTTGTTTTTTTTTGTTTTAGGGGGAAACTTGGTGGAGGACAAAGGTGTGATTCAGAGCCCAGTCTCCTCTGTGTTTCTGCAAAATCAAAATGAACCCATCCACAGCACGTACTTTGACGAGAAGATCCCAGTACCAGAGGAGAGCAGCTCGGTACTGGACTAAACCAGGACTCAACCAAGACTGAACCAAGACTAAACCAGGACTGAACCAAGACTAAACCAGGACTAAACCAGGACTGAAAACCCCTTTAACATATGTGTGTGTTTTCAGAGTGTGTTTAGTCTCCGTAAGCTCTGGGCCTTCACGGGTCCTGGGTTCCTCATGAGCATCGCGTATCTGGACCCTGGAAACATCGAGTCCGACCTGCAGTCTGGAGCTAAGGCTGGCTTCAAGGTATGATTCAGGGTGGGACAAAAAATAAATGCATACAAATAATAATAAATAAACATTTTTCAACTCGGAAAAACATTTTCCAGTCTTACTGAGGAACACATGAACGCAGCATTAGTGCAGACTTTGATTTGTGAAAAATGTGCAGAAGGTAAACGCTTTGTGCGTTTGTGGACAGAGACGATGTCTGTGCTTTTCTCTGAGATGGATTTAGAAAAAAAGTTACATTTTTCTGCTTGTTCCACTGTTGTGATGCTTCAACCAGTCAGATTCAAATAGTCCTAATGACATTCTACACTTTCCAGTCTCTTCCAGTGAAAGCTGTTCCAGATTTATAATGTGTAGAAGTCACTTCAGAGTCATACACAGATCAATCTGGAATCTGATGTGACCCAGAGTCAGAGGCACCGATAGAAAAGATCAGGTTCAACCATAGACTTATAAAAGAAGTGGACTAAGAGAGTGTGACGTCACTCACAGCGCTCAGCGCCGCTCAAATGAGACTCACGATGTTCACGCTTACAGGAGCCAATCTGGAGCCAGACTCTTTGTTATAAATAGGATTTTTTTTACAGACAAAATAGCAAAAAAAATAAAAAAATCAGGATCATGTAAAGTGAGTTAATACAAACATTTTAAGACCAAAATGACGAGGCCCACAACAGCAGGTGCAGAGAAACGAGCCACAAGATCCTAATGTAAGTCAGTTGGAGCCAGAGTCAGAAGAAGCCGGAAGAGCCTCCTGGAGAACTTCCTATTTGGCACACGGAGGCCAGCGCGTTAGCTCTGTCCACTCATATATACGGTCTTTGGGTTCAACATTGACAATTTAGTGAAAGGATTTTGTGACGACCTTTAATCACTGAAAATAAATCATATTTTGATTTGAATCACATATTGCTAAGAACACATGACCTCTGCCGTGCCAAATCCTTCAACCAGGAAAGAAACCTTATACCTGAACACCTGCTGTAAAACTTATTTTTGTGTTCGGGGCTTGGCTGTGTCTTTCTGATGACATGAACTGTAGTTAATTAACAGCACTGAGCTGTTTCACTCTGGATGATTTTTCTTATCACGGTCAGAACACATGTTATCTGAAGTGTGGACAGTCCCAGATTTACCCCCTGTCCCTCGTGCACTCACCGTCTCGTGCACTCACCGTCTCGCGCACTCACCGTCTCGCGCACTCACCCTCTCGCGCACTCACCCTCTCGTGCACTCACCGTCTCGTGCACTCACCGTCTCGCGCACTCACCGTCTCCGCACTCACCTCTCGTGCACTCACCGCACTCACCGTCTCGCGCACTCACCGTCTCGTGCACTCTCAAAACACTTTATTCAGTGTGTAGTGTTTAGTGTTTTACAAATGTCCGATGGGAGAGTCCTGGGGTCAAAGTTCACCTTAACTCTGAACTTTGCCCTGGAAATGAAGAAATATGTGCATTGTTAAGGGGCAGTGTCACAAAACCATTCAAGTTTGAATCCGTTAAACATTAATTCTAAACTAAACAACAAAAATACACCACAGTGAAAGGTGCAAACTGGACCAAACTTCTTAACCTACTGTTATTAAACATTTACTACCTGATAGTGACAAAGCTCACAGCAACAAGGTGCCACTCCCACTCCCTGTTCGTCCTCCACTTTCTTCCCTGAATAAAAATTATGTACAATGTGTAAACTTGTAAGCAGCATCAGATGCCCACAACTGGCTTGACTTCATCACTGGCCTGACTTCATCACTGGCCTGACTTCATCACTGGCCTGACTTCATCACTGGCCTGACTTCATCACTGGCCTGACTTCATCACTGGCCTGACTTCATCACTGGCCTGACTTCATCACTGACTTCATCACTGGCTGACTTCATCACTGGCCTGACTTCATCACTGGCTGGGCTGGTCACTGAATTGAAGATGCTGTTTGAAAGCAGTCAACCTTCTTCTTGTGACTGTGGGGTCAGTGGTGACCGTCACACGCTGACGCACTCATCATCACTTCTTCATGTTGGGGCTCAGGCTCAAGAAACTTTGTACTGTGAGGTTAACATTTGCTGTTTACATCCTTAAATGTAAAATATGTCTTAACGCGGCCTCTCCCTGTGTTTTCTCAGCTCCTGTGGGTGCTGCTGGGTGCCACCATCATTGGGCTCCTGCTGCAGAGGCTGGCAGCTCGCCTGGGCGTGGTCACGGGCATGCACCTGGCAGAAGTGTGCCACCGGCAGTACCACACCGTGAGTCACATGGAGCCTGTAAACACAGAGCTATAAGCTGCTGTAACAGTTTGACAAAGATCCACGTGGTGTGATCTGTCGTTCATCCAGGGGTCACTCGAGGTGAAAGGGTTTACGTTTTATGTTTTCATTACTTCACAATTTTAAAATTACAACTAAAACTATATTATCACATCCTTTATTTTATTTTCCTGTCCAACTGAGTATTTCAAGGGGATCAAAATGATCTCCATGGAGACATCAGGCCAAAATACTAGTCACATCTGTGGAGAGGCGAGTCCACTCACAGCAAAAGCACAGTATTAAAAAGACCTCTGAATGAATAAACAATAAACATATACACATGATTTAATGCCGTACTGTGGACCTTTTCAGGCATGACAATATGGTATTTCCATGGGAACAGGCAGAAAAGGTTCATAATACAACTTTAAACTTGTGTTCATCGCCTGATTGAATTATTTTGTGTCAGTTCTACTGTAGCAAACCTCAAGGACACTGCTTCTGCTTTTATTACATGATATCTTTCTTCGAGCTCATGTCATTCTTCTGTTTGTGCTAAAGTCTGTTTCTTTTAAGTCAGGTTTAAGCCCACCTAAACACTGTAAAAGTAAGAAGAAAGACAAGAGATTAATATTGTTTACTCGCGAGGAGGACGGACAGAGCAGTGGAGGGCCCTGATGCACTCCCTGCGTCTCCTCTTTTTATTGTCATAAGGGAGTCCCTAGTTACAATGGGTGTTTCTCTAAGGGGAGGGGTTGAAAACAGCAAAAAACAGTAGAAACATCAGACATGATTTCATTGTGCAAATATGTATATTCAGCAGCAGGTGGCCGATAAGGTGTAGCATCATTGTTGTAGCATCTTTGTTGTAGCATCTTTAGGAACAGCACGTCCCCTCCAGCACGTCCCCTTCTTTCTGCCATCCTTGAGAGCCGTCCTCTTTCTCAGAAAAGAGCTGACTAAGTCATTGTTTTAGCGGTGTGCAGAGTGGGCGACAAGTCACTGCATAGTTATAAGCACAAACATTATTTCACACAAAAAACAATACATAGAAAATATGGGATAACATATACAATTATTTTAACATTTTAGGACCAACTAACCAACTCAGTCAATAGAGTCTTAGTCAACGTAGATCTGTATTAGTCAAGTAATTCATGAGATTTGGTGTTTTTAGGTTCTTTTTTCAGACCAAGGGTTTGTTTTCATAGTTCACAGTTTCAAAGTTTCCACTGCTCATGATGAATTAATGAATTATTCCTTGCACTTATATAGTGACTTTCAAGACACCCAAAGTGCTTCACAGTTCATTATCTCATTCACTCCACACTCAGTGATGGCAGACTACTTCAGTAGCCACAGCTGCTGAGGGGCAGACTGACGGAAGCGAGGCTGCCCATCTGAGCCATAAGCCCACCCGACCACCACCAACATTCACACACACACGCACGCACACCACTTTCATACCAGGCAATGTGGATAAAGTGTCTTGCCTAAGGACACAACAGCAGTTTTTGAGACTGGCACCCCAGTGTGGCTCCTCATTTTCCCTGCGGTCTCCCATCCAAGTCCTAACCCGACCCAGTCCTGCTGAGCCTCTGAGATCTGATGGGATCAGGCTTTGTCAAGCTGATATGGACACGAGAGGTCTTCCTCAGAGTCCCGTGATGTAGCTGTGACATGTCCCCTCAGCTGATTTGTACTGGTGGAGGCAGGACGACAGCGCCATCTGCAGTGCCACTTCCTCAGGACAGTATCCCAGGAGTGTGAGAGGAAAAACCTGTATAAATCAACTGACAGGACACATCACAGCAACATGATGTGACCACTCTGAAGAAGAAGACTGGTCTGGACTAGTGAGAACTCCAAACTGTCAGGTATGAAAACAAACTCTTGGTCTGAAAGGAGAACTTAAAAACATAAATTATCAGAAGATCAAATGAACCTCATTGGACTAGTGAGATGTGGTATTTTTTTGTATTTTTTGTAAAAGGCAAGTTGAGTTGAATCTGTCTTTATATAAGTACATTGTTGCCTAGTGCTTTTTTCTGCATCAAGAGTAGTTTTGGCATGAGCTCCCCCTGCAGGTGTAGTCTTGTGAGTGCAGTTTGAGTCACATACACAGAGATATGAAATAGTTTTGAGAGCTTTTTCCACACCCCCTTTTGTAGTTGACTCACTGGTTGACAGTTCATGTCTTTAGTCGACCAAGAATTGATTTAGTGGAATACAGCTCTAGTATTCATCTAAATCCCTGTTTTGTCCCTCATGTTTCCAGAGTGTTACATGTCTGTTACGTCTCCTCTGATGCAGATTCCTCGTGTGGCCCTGTGGCTGATGGTGGAGTTGGCCATCATCGGCTCAGACATGCAGGAGGTCATCGGCTGTGCCATCGCCTTCAACCTGCTCTCCTCCGGCAGGTAAAACAGAAGAGGGAGTCTGCGCTGCTGTTTTTATTATTTAGTTTAGTTAAAGATCATTTCAGCAGCTCTTGCCTTGTGTGTGGGGTTTGCATGTTCTCCCTGTGTCTGGGTGGGTTTTCCTCCATCAACCCAAAACATGCACAACAGGTCAATTCCTCCAGATGAGGTTCTGACCAAGCTTGGATATTCAGCTTAAGAACCAAAACACGAAATGTAAACATGGACATGATCATCATGTAAGATATTTTAGCAATCACGAATAAAACAACATTTCATTTACTATCAGCAGTGTTGGGGAGTAACAGATTACATGTACCAGAGTTACATAATCAGAGTACAAATTATGAGTAACTGTATTCAGTTACAGTTACTGTTTGAGTGAGTGGTAATTGGATTACAGTTACTTTGATGAAATAACATTCACATTTTGAGCTATATCCCCTCCTTTTTTTAGTAATTCCACTCATTGCCGGACACTAAACCAGGTCTAAAACCAGGTCTAAACTAAACTTGTGTTCATCGCCTGATTGAATTATTTTATTCTTTTGTGTCAGTTCTACTGTAGCAAACCTTAAGGACACTGCTTCTGCTTTTATTACATGATATCTTTCTTCGAGCTCATGTCATTCTTCTGTTTGTGCTAAAGTCTGTTTCTTTTAGGACCAATTAACCAACTCAGTCAATAGAGTCTTAGTCAACCTAGATCTGTATTAATTGACTCATTAGTGAGATTTGGTGTTTTTAGGTTCTTTTTTCAGACCAAGGTTTTTTTGTTTTTTTTTGGTTTTTTGGTAATTCCACTCATTGCCAGACACTAAACCAGGTCTAAAACCAGGTCTAAACTAGATCTAAACCAGGACTGAACCAGGACTAAAACCAGGTCTAAACCAGGTCTAAACCAGGTCTAAACCAGGACTAAACCAGGACTAACCCAGGACTAACCCAGGTCTAAAACAGGATTTAACAGGACTAAATCATACCTCGTGGACCGTGTCTCCTCCTCTTTTATCAATAATATTTTTAACATGGTTAAGTAAAGTCTGGGCTTTTTATTTTCTTTTAGCAGACAAAACATCTTATGTTAAGATAGTGCTGTCATGCGATAAAAAAAATTGAGAGATTAATTAATTATGATCTGTAATTAATTAATCTAATTAATCTCATTTTAATCTCACCTAAAAATTGCTGAGAAAAGCTTCAATTTGAGGTATTTTCATTTAAATTCATTATTACATTATTGTGGCAGATCAAAAGACTGATATAGAAAAAAAAGTGACTTTATAAAGTCATTTATTGTTTAACAAATCTCTCCAAATTGGCTGTTGAGCCCAAGTCTCCATGAATAAGAAACTGTTTGCTGTAAAGTAGCAAAGACGAGGAAATCTGAACATAATAACTTTTGTCTACTTAAAGACAATAAAAAGTCCAGTCTTTCCTTAACCATATTAAAAATATTATTGATAGAGAAATGCTTTATGTATGACATCACTGGTTTTAGTCCTTGTTTTAGTCCTGGTTTAGACCTGCTTTAGTCCTACTTTAGTCCTACTTTAGTCCTAGTTTAGTCCTGGAATGGATTAATCCTGGTTTTAGTCCTGGTGTTAGTTCTGGTTTAGTCCTGGTTTAGACCTTTGGTTTAGACCTGGTTTTAGTTCTGGTTTGGTTTAGTCCTGGTTTTAGTCCTGGTTTAGACCTGGTTTTAGACCTGGTTTTAGTTTCTGGTTTTAGTTCTGGTTTAGTCCTGGTTTAGTCCTGGACTGGATTAGTCCTGGTTTTAGTCTTGGTGTTAGTTCTGGTTTAGAGGCGCACAGGAGGAAGCGCGGTTTACGCCGCGTACGCGAGAAAACACGATCCACACGCGGCTCACGGGAGCAGGTCGGTGTCCAGCGCATTAACTATGGAAGGAAACGTGGTTCGCGCGTTCTCAGGTTAATGACGATGATGAAGGTGTGTGTTTGTGTTTGTGTGTGTGTTTGTGTCTGTGTGTGTTTGTGTGTGTTGTGTTGTGTGTGTTTGTGTGTGTTTGTGTGCGTGTCCCCTCATGTGGCAGGTCACTATAGGACAGTAGTGCAGACATCATGAGTCTATGCAGGTTGTTTTCACCAGTGACATTTAAGTTGTAGGCGATTTTATATTTGTTATTTTCTTTTATGTTTCACGTCGGGAGAATAATTTCCAAGACATGAATGTGTTTTTCCCTGTGCACTGCTGCCTCTGTTCTACTGGCTCTTCCACCTCGTCCATTGTGCCTGACGCCGCCAACGTTAACATGACGTTTACATCGCTCTTACTGCGCACGTTTTGGGTGGGTTTCCGGCAATGAGTGGAATTACCGAAATAAAAAAATGTATAAATGTGTTTTTTTGTGTGTGTGTGTTGTTGTCCCAACAACACATAAAAACAGGTTTTATAATAAAGCAACTCGCATACAGATACAGTAAAGTTAAAGATTAAAAATGAGATTAACGCGATTAAAAAACATAACGCGCTAAATATGACTCTAATTAATTAATCGCAATTAACGCGATAATTTGACACCCCTGTTAAGATATCCTAGTCTTTGCTTCTCTACAGCAAATCAAGTAATCCAAAGTATTCAGATTACATTACTTGCTTTAAGTAATTTAATGGATTACGTTACAAACTACATTTTGGGGTATGTAATCTGTAATCTGTAGTGATTATATTTTAAAAGTAACCTGCCCAACACTGACTATCAGTCAATAAATCAGTCAATATTTGATTTAAAGAACCTTTAAAGGATCTGTTAAAAACAGACCTGGAGTTGTGTTTTGTGTCAGTCACACTAATCCTTTATTATTAGTCTGTCTATATCTTCAAAGCTCAAAATGCTCTGTTCCACCTTGTGATGTCATGACACTGTGGTTTTCAAGTTCACAGTTACCTTTTACCTTTTGTTTAGTAGAGACTGACAATTCCAGGGCTGAAATGATCCAAATGATTCTAGTGACAGTGAATGGAGTTTTACACAGTGGAGCACTTCCTGTATTAACACATGACATCACAAGGTGGAATGTTTCCTGTTTGAGAGAAGAAGAAGAACTCAGTCTAAATGTGCAGGGTTTGTGTGTTAAACATGTGTGAATGAAACAAAACACAACAGTGTGTTTTTGATGAGGAAACTACACTATAACAGTAGTCAGATCAGTATGGGCCCTTTAAGTTCTAATGTTGACACTTACTTATGTTGTTTATTTATTTACTTTCTTCCCCATAGAATTCCTCTGTGGGGTGGAGTCCTCATCACTATTGTAGACACGTTTTTCTTCCTCTTTTTGGACAAATATGGTGGGTTTAAATCTCCAAACACCATTTTACCTCGGAGCTTCATAAACATGTGTTAGATATGACATACTGTACATTTGTGTTTTGCCCAGGTCTGAGGAAACTGGAGGCTTTCTTTGGTCTCCTTATCTCTGTGATGGCGTTTACCTTTGGATATGAGGTAAGAGACTAAACTATAAGAATAAGTCATAAAGTTAGTGTGCTGACCTGGTGAAAATGATACAAAACAGTTTAGAGTTGATTGAATAAAAACACACTGCAAAATATACAACTCTGTCTCGATTAAGATTCTGTTCATTTGAACTATATTTTCTTTTTACACCAACTATAAGGTTACAAATATTAAATTGATCATATTCACAAATTGTCCTCACAAATGAATATTGTGGTGTCCTCTCATGTTTCGTGTGGACAGGCCCAGGAATGTAAGAAAAGAAAACTGTTAGTTTAATCTTAGCTGACACAGGTCAGGTTAAATGAACAGTTTTTGTGACATAGAGAGTACTCAGTTACATTTACTTGAGTACCTTTTTAATACAGTTGTACTTCTCAGTAGATTTCTGACCCCATATTTGCAAATGCTGCACTAGCACTGATTCTTTAATCAGTTCTATATTATGCTAATGTGAGCTTTAAACCATGTTGTAAAACTGTTCCCTCCTCAGAAACAGAACTGAAGTTGTATTTTGTTTCCAAAATCCTCTGTTCCACCTTGTGATATCATGAAGTGATAGTTTTTAAGTGAACAGCTCCTTTTATCTTTTGTTCAGTAGAGATTGGCATCTGGTGAATTGTGCATTGAGTTTTGTTTGTTTTAATTTATATTTTGTCTCTTGTATGTCCAGTGAGTGGAGTTGTGAATGTAAACTTGTTGTTCATGCGTTTGGTACTTTTGTTTCAGCTCAGACTCTTCCTGTCATGACCCGTGTAGTCGGGGTTTATGTTTTGTTTTTGTTTGCTGCAAATGATCCAATAAAAAAAATAAATAAATAAGAAATTGACAATTCCAGGGCTGAAATGATCCACATGATTCTAGTGAATTGTGTGTATGGAATTTAAAACAGTGGAGCACCTCCTGTATTCCTACATGATATTACTACTGGAACAATTTATGATGTGGGAACAACACAGATCACAACAATATGGGCCCTGTGCTGACTGGCTGCAGGTGCTGGGGTTTAGGTGTGAGGAATAGAGATTATTTTACATTTAAACCAACTGGATTTGAGCATTGACACTGGCAACTCAAATGAGAGACACATGTGAGGCTCATTCTGCTTTACACAAACCAAACAAATGATAACATAAACAACCTGGTCATCATGTCCAATCTTTTTGTAATTAAGAATAAATCAGCATTACAATTGTTTAGTAAATGTTATATTTGAATTGAACATGTTTACATGTTTTATCTGACACAGTTATGTCATATTTATGGATTTTAAAATCGACGTCTTCATACAGTTCCTTTTAATTTATAAATCAGATGTTGCGTCCAGACAGTTGCTCTTTGTTGAGTAGTCGTTTTACTAACTTGAGTCATTTCTTGGACCTCTACTTTTTACTTATACTTGAGTAATATTATTTTGAACTAAAGGTTCAATTACTGGAGTACATTTTAGCCCTCAGTCTTATCACATATCCTTCCTGTGCTCGTCTTCAGTATGTGACTGTGGCTCCAGACCAGGCCTCTGTGCTGCACGGCATGTTTGTTCCCTCCTGTGACGGCTGTGGCTCTGCTCAGCTCCTCCAGGCTGTGGGCATCGTTGGAGCTGTCATCATGCCACACAACATCTACCTCCACTCAGCCCTGGTCAAGGTCAGGACTGAACCACGACTGAACCTGGACCAGACAAGGACGGAACCAGGACCAGACAAGGACTGAACCCACGACTGAACCAGGACCAGACCAGAACTGAACCAGGACTGAACGTGGACCAAACCAGGACTGAACCAGAACCAGACAAGGATTGAACCAGGACCAGACCAGGACCAGACCAGGACCAGACCAGGCCTAAACCCCTTGTCTGCTGTATGTGTTTTAGTCCAGAGAAGTGGACCGTTCAAAGAAAGAGGAGGTGAAAGAGGCCAATAAATACTTTTTTATTGAGTCGTGCTTGGCTCTGTTTGTGTCCTTCATCATAAACGTGTTTGTGGTCTCTGTGTTTGCTGAAGCCTTCTACGGACAGACCAACCTGCAGGTGGTAAGTGTCAGGCTCATTAGTCTGTTGTAGTTACTTTTATATAAACATTTTCTAAAAAATGTGTCTTTCATTTTCAGTACAGCATCTGTAACAGCTCAGGCAGTCCTCATGTGGACCTGTTTCCTCTAAACAATGACACTTTAGAGGTGGACATCTACAAAGGGGTAACTCTCACTTTGCCTTACCCACTTCCTGTTATTAAAGGTGGACTATGTAACTTTTATGCTGGTGGGGTCCACCACCTTCTTGTCTCTTTTGAGATGGTATTGCTCTGCCTGAAATGCTCCAAAGTATCTGTCTTGCATTTATTCATTTACAGGTATTTTTATTGTTCAAAAATACCTTAAAGAATATGCATTCATGTGAGTGGGCTCGCCTCTCCACAGTTCTGACCTATAACTTGGCCTGGGGGTTGTCTCCATGGAGATTGATATATTTAATTCCATTCTATGGAACACTCCAGGCAGAGCAACATGTGTTTTAGCAGATATAGTGGTAATGATAACTGTGTGGGATTCTTGGAGTGTCTGAGTCAATTCTCTGTGTTGTTTGTTGTTGATTTCAGGGGGTGGTCCTTGGCTGTTTCTTTGGCCCTGCGGCGCTCTACATCTGGGCTGTGGGGATCCTGGCTGCAGGTCAGAGCTCCACCATGACAGGAACCTACTCCGGACAGTTCGTGATGGAGGTCAGTCTAGAAACTTTCATTTATCCACTAAATATTTTACACCAAGTACAACTGAAGAATATGTGTGGTTTTCAGTGTATCACCAGATCTAAACATGTCTATAAGAGAACTATACCAGGATTAAACCACCAAAAACCCAGACAAGGACTAAGGCCAGGGCTCATTAAGTCACGGTTTAGTCCTAGTTTAGACCTGGTTTACTTCTGACTGTGGACATAATCTCTTCCACTTTTAAAAGAAGTTTAATGTTTAACTCTGGGATTATGGATTATGATACTTAGTTAAACCAAGTCTAAACCAGGACCAGGATAAAAACAGTACTAAACCAGAACTAAATCAGATCTAAATCAGGACTCAACTAGCACTGAACCAGGACTAAACCAGGACCCACATCTCTTTTAGCATGACTGTAGTATTAACCCTGTAATACCCGTCTTCTTTCTGCTCAGGGCTTCTTAAACCTTCGCTGGTCTCGTTTCGCGCGGGTCTTACTCACTCGCTCTCTGGCCGTCACGCCCACGCTGCTCGTCGCCATTTTCCAGGACGTCCAGAGACTCACCGGAATGACTTCCTCAACGTGCTCATGAGTCTGCAGGTACGGAGCAGAGAGTGTGTATGGTACTGAGGACAGGGACTATAACAGTTATGGAGCACACATGGAACTGAACTGAAGAGGAACTGTAACAGGTACAGACGTGTGAAAGGGAGCGCACATAGAACTCTAGAGGGCACTAGTCAAACAGAAAGGTTTACAATATGGACTGTATTTTTTGGACTATAAGGCACATTTAAGATCTTTTAAGTTTCTCAGATGTCGACAGTGCACCTTATAATCAGGTGCGCCTTATGTTTTCATTCTGGTTGTGTTTACTGACCTTGACCGGATTTTATGTGGTACACAGTGCTCAAAAATGTGTCAAAATGTTTTTGTATGACTTTGGTAAACTACCAAGCCGCATCGCTTGATGGACTGTGGGAGCATTACTGTAGTCAGGAGCCTCGAGAAGTTAGTCCAACAAAATCTGACCACATCAGCACAAAAGGAGCGAGCTGTTTTTTTCAGGCTTATAGTTTATGCAAATGAGCCATGTGGCTTTAAGTTTCATTTCTGTAAAACGTAAAACAAATGTGCACAAAACTGCATTAAACACATTATTACTCAATGTATATTTGAGTCATCCTCGTAGAGAAAAAAAAAAAACTTGAACTTGAAAATGATCCATCCACATTCACATTCATAATCCATTCACCAAGACAGAGAGGCAACGCCGGGCGAATTACACCACAATCTGCTGATGGATCATGGACTCCTGGACTAAGGATCAGTCTCAAGTGTCGTCCGTTTGTTTTGCTTAATGCTCCTATAATCTGATGCACTTTATTTATATACAGTGTATAAGTAAATACTTATCAGTGTTCATTTTTTATTTACTTTTCCAATTTCACTCAAAAAATTATTTGTGATTTTAGTCAAGATTTAGTCAAATAATTCTTTTGGTTTTAGGTCATTTTTAGTTACCATACTAATTTAGTAAAAGTAGTAACCCTGTCTACCTAACCGCCCTGTAGTTCAGACCTCTCCAGACATTCTGAAAAGGGATTCTTTTATTAGTTGAACAGTTCAGATTTCAGTTTTGTCTCTGATGTGAATGCTCCTGGACAGATTTAAAAACAAAAGTAATCCCACAGCTCTGCTCTGTGTCCACAGCTGCCCTTCGCCCTGATCCCCATCCTCACCTTCACCAGTTTACCCTCGCTCATGAACGACTTCGCCAACGGACTGTAAGTTAAGCAGCACTGTGTAACCTTTCTGCTGGATGGAGATGTTATTGCTTTGCCTGAAATGTTCCACAGTATGGCATTAAACTTTTCTGGCTCCATGATTGTTTTTCTCTGAGCCTCACAGACACATCTCTTTCCATTTTCACTGGATTTTTACTTAACAGGTGGAAAGCTTGGTTGTAAGTATTTTAATGTCTTAAATAATTACTGGACTCATGAATATTTCTGTTGTTAAATTGCGTTCAATACAACTGTGTGCTGACATTAGCATGCCGCTAACATTGCTTAAATTGCATTATTTTTTTTTTCATTGTTGTTGTTCTTGTTTTTTGTTCACTCTTTTGATTCATTCACACTGCTCCATAATGTAGTTAGTGCACTACTGTGTTAAATGAAACACAAAACGCACACCAAAGTTCTTGTAGAGGTGCAAAATACAAGAAACAGCAAAATAAAAGTGAAAATATGCATAGCACACTCAAAATGTTTTGGTCAGATATTTTTCTTGCTTCCACACTGTGGTCCAAAGCAAGACAAATATCAGATCAGGCTTTTTTTTGCCAAAACTTTATTTAAAAATAAAATGCCCTACTGTGGAAAGATGGCAGGTGGCTGTGGCAGGATAGTTATAAAGAAAAGTTACATATTGCAACTTTAAAATGTTAAAGCACACCTACTGTGTAAAATGGACTTTTTACAGCCTTTAACCATGTTATAATTGTCTCCCTTTTGCATTTACCCTTTGTCTCAGAGGCGTTGTTTATTTCTGCATTGTGATTTGAATCTGTAGTATACATTTAGTCATTTTTGCACAAATGTAGAAAAACCTGCTTCCCTTAGTGTGATGTGCATTTATAAATAAAAGATACTGACGGCATGTGGAGCTTGTGAAGACGTTAACGGCGACGTCAGCTCCCACTGGACACCGCAGTCAGAGCACTTGTTTCTTTTATTAAGTCATTTTAGTTGAATTAGAACTATATAGCAGAGTCAAGCACAATATGTCGTCTTGAAAACATTGAAACTCCATGATTTGCTCTTAATCGTAAAGTCCTTTTGTTGTGACGTGACCCCTCCCACAGCACACTCCCTCTCCTCTTTTCCCCTCTGTGCAGGTTCTTTAAGGTGGGCGGGGGTGTGGCCATCCTGGGGGTCTGCTGTATAAACATTTACTTTGTGGTGGTGTATGTGACTCAGCTGGGCAGTGTGTGGCTCTATGTGCTGGCAGCCTTCCTCTCCCTCCTCTACCTCGCCTTGGTGGGATACCTGGTGAGTGTGGCACAATGTATCTCACTTATGTACATGATGATATAGAAATAAAAGCTCTGAACACAGCAGAGTAAGACAAGATGGGAAAAATATATTCACCTCATGTTGTGAAACCTACTCATGGGTTTCGACTTCTGTCATATGCAACATTTTGAGAACTTCCCCATTCAAAAGATATAACATAATGTTTTATATTGTTAAAGGGCCCATCTCATGCAAAATCACTCTTTTCACATTGTATCCGCTGCACATAAATAAGCACAATTTGGGTTTTGAAACATCCATTACACAATAGTTCTGAAATCTTACTGATTTCTTGGAGACAGTGACAGACCAGGAACTATGAATGAATGACTATCACTCATCCCCCCGCCCGTCCTGAGAAAACACAGGCTCCGCCCTCCAAACGTGACATAGGTGACGAGTGAGCCGCCCTTCCTCCGCCCATCTCAGGGAGGGAGGGGGAGACAGGCGTGACCCTGATAGTGGTAGGAATAAACTTTTATTCATCATGGAGATACAGCGCGTTCAGCCGCATGTGTTGGACCCGGAATCGGACGAGGACTTTGAGGAACACGAAGCTCAAGCACCGCGTCCACATCAGCTGAACATTACTGATTGGTAAAGTATTAATAAACACTAGTAGATAAACGTATTATATCGTGTTCACTGCAGTGTAGAACAATGAACTTATGCTGTCGCTTTTGTTTAGAGGTGTTCATGTGGGAATTGTCAGACGATGCGGGGTGGAGGTGGGGTGGAGGCGGTGGAGCGGAGGAGGGGGGTGGGTGCAAAGCGCCTTCTGCTACGTCAAATGTGTCATAGGTTTAGCTGCCGCGTCGTCGTTGTAGCAGCTTTAGTTCATTGTCACGTGGGAGGGTGGTAGAAATACACTGCAATTTGTTAAAAAAACACCAACTCAATCTAAAAAACACTTGGGCGACAAATACAAGGCCCACATCACACTTAGAGGGTAGAAAGAACTGACAAGTTGATTTTGCATGAAATTGGTCCTTTAAGCATTTACAGGAACAGCTGTAATTTTTCTACATTTTGGAACCCCCTGGATTGGTGGATCTGACTCTAGGATGTGATGATGTTCTGTTTCCAGTTTTTTATGACATTGATCAGTAACAGCATAAGTGTAAGGAGGCTAATATTCAAAACATAAATTCACTTGAAACCTGAATTAAAACACTGGGGGTGCTCTGCATGAATGTGTATGGTAGAATGTTACCATGTTCCCAGTTACCATGGTCACACAATTAGAAAACATTAACAAAAAAGTATTAAATCTCAAGAAAGAATACAAAGTGGATTTAAACAACACATTTTCAGGAGCCTGTGATCAGGCCGAGCGTGCATGATTCTGTTTAGGAGCTTTATTTTCAAGGAAAAAAAAAACCCAAAAACTCACTGAAAAACTGTTGTGATAGGCTCCAGGAAGATGTTTGGAAACATGTGATGACAACTTACAGCAGGTTCTGTTTGTAAGTCTGATAAAATCTAGGAAAAATTTCCCAGTTTTCTTCATCTCCAGATCATTGTATTCATTCATTATCATTGATTGTAGTGTTCCGTTATGTTTGACTCATCAACAATTCCAACCATACCTCAGTTTTTATCATTTCCCCACTGACACACAACTCCGAGTGCACTGGTACATGTGATTAGAAGAGATGAGGCGCCAAACTCCAGATGATTCCAAACAGCACATACGTCTGCAGTCTTCATTTTACCGCTGATCACATTTACCGTATTTTCCACACTCTTAGTTGCTCTGGATTATAAGACGCACTGTCATTAAATGGTCTATTTTCAAACTTTTTTCATAAATATACCGCACTGGACTTTAAAGGAAACACAACAGTGTGATGGGTGAGTGGTTTTGTTTGTTTGTTCGTTCACGGTGACTCTGAGCTTTGTTCAGTTGTGGCGTGTAGGGAGGGTGTGTCTGGGACCAACGGATTGTCGGCGTGTTCGCAGTGACTCAGTTGTTCAGTTGTGTCTAGAAGTGGCACATTGCACTCGCTTTTTCGGTTCGTTCCTCCGTTCCGTTCCTCGTCGGTGTGGAGTGATGAGAGTGTCTGTGGGTGTTTTTGGCTGTGCAGTCGCTGTCTGCTCCGTGTGTGTTTGTGTGTCGTGTAGGTGGTGTGGCTTTGTAGTTTACTGAAGTCGTGCTGGGACACCCGAGTGGATTCGTGTATAGGGCGCTCTGGATTGTGGGGTGCGCAGTAGTTTTTTGATGCGGCTTAAGAGCGTCTAATAGCCCGGAAAATACGATACTTCAGTGGATTGATCACAGTCAGTTGAGCCCAGTGTCGGGAACTACACTGGAAGTTGTATTCACATCTTTCCGAACGTCTTCCTGGTTTGTGACGTATTGTAATGTTATTTGAAACAGGACTTGTTTAACTGTAGTTAAACAGTAAAAAGTCTGCTCTATGTGGTCAGATCGTGTTAAAACTAAGCTCCGATTAAGATCTAACTTGAGTAACAGAGCCTCAGACAGAGTAGAGCCTACAGTAAGCATTACACCTCAGAGAATGTTGAGCAAACTATCAATTACAACCAAAATCTGTATCACCATATCATCTGAGCTGCCCCTCGTGTCATCTGAAAACCTCCACCAGGATCCTTATTTGTCATTCCAACATGTGAAAAAACACAACACATACTTTGGTTGAGTTCATGATTCACTGTTTGAATCTCACCTTTTGTTGTGTTGTTTGGCAAGACACTTCACTCAGTTTGCCTTAGTTTATTTTACTGCTCCTGAGTGTCTGGACTGAGGGGACTTTAGAACAGGGTTTGGTCTGAAAACCTGTGAACATTTTTAAACAGTAATGTGGAAAAAACAGTTAAAGTTAACCAGAATTTGAGATTAATCTTCAACTAAAAACAAAAAGGGGAAAAAATACTGGGTCTCCTAACCTTCTGAAATTGGGTAAAGAAATAAAAATGATGTAATAATATGTGAAATTTTCTGATCTGAGTTCTAATAATAATGTTGTTTCCTCGTCACAAACAGACTTGGAGTTGTTTTGTTTCATTCACACATGTTTAACACACAAACTCTGCACATTTAGGAGTTCTTTACTCAAACAGAAAACACTGTTCTACCTTGTGATGTCATGTGGTGATACAGGAAGTGCTCCACTATGTTTTTAAACTCCATACAGCTTCACTAGAATCACTTGGATAATTTCTGTCCAAATGTCTGTGAATCTGCTCTACTCGTCTACTGAACTGAAAGTAAGAGGTAGATGCTAACTTGAAAACTACCACTTCATGACATCACAAGGTGGAGCAGCATTCTGAGCTTTGGAGATGTAGACAGATTAATAATGCAGGATTACTTAAACATGTGTGAATGAAACAAAACACAACTGCAGGTCTATTTTTGAGGAGGGAACAACAATTTAGTGTAATCTGGAATTTTTAAAAACCAAAGAGCACCTGCCTTGTGTTATTTTGCACTATGTAATTTTTCTGGTTTTGCTCGTCTCCGTGGAGAAATGATTACTTTTCCTGGAATGTTTGACAATGGCATTAAACATATCTATTGCATTTATTCATTTTCTTTCTTCATGAATTACTTTGAAAAACATGGATTCTTACTTTGAGCAGGGTCACCTCTCCATAGATCTTACCTGTAACTAAACCCGATGGCATCACCAGATGAAAAGTTACATAATGCAACTTTAATTGATTGGTTTACAGTTTTTCTCTGTCGGTCTGACTCATTTCTTGAAACAGAAATAACATTCTTAAACCTATAAGATCATTTGACCAAACAGTCTGATAGTTCTGCACAACATTACAGCTCAGCAGCAAAAGCTCAGATCTCTCCCAAAACTGTTCACACAAGCTTCAAAGCAGATTCTTTTCCCATATAAAGAGTCAGGACCATCAAAACTGCAAAGATCCTTCTCAGTTGCTTTGGCTCTTTTGCATTCACTTAGTGCTTTTGCCAGAATAACCTGGATGGTTCAGCACAACACCATGGATCACCTGCAAAAGCTCACATCTGTCCCAAAACACTTTACTCATGTATCAAAACTACATTTCTTTCTCGTAAAAACAGTCATTGCCCCAAAAATGCATCGTCCCTTTGACCTTGTGTCACTGCAGCTCAAAATGCTGAGAGGTTTTGTCACTACAGCAGAGGTCAAACTAACACAATACAATTATGAATAAAACTGAAAAAAAGGAATTCAGAGTAAGAGCAGTCTCCAAAGTTTGACATCACACACACTGCTCTCACACACACACACACACACACACACTGCACACACGCACACACACGCACACACACACATAAAGTCACTTCCACACATCGGAGTACAGAAAAAAGAAAATGTTTACAGTATTCTGTCCATGTAAAAAATATAAACACAAACAAAAAAGAGAAAGAAAAAATATATCTAGCCTACAGTACTGTAAATAAAGCAAATAAAGTTTCTACAGTAACACTTTCACTGGTCACAGTCCCTTATTCTCAGTCATCAAAGGGAGAGAAGAAACAGCACAAATGTCTAAAACATCGCCTCCCCTGTGATGTCCTCACACGCAACGTCCATGGAGCAGGGACCTCTGGTCTGGAGCCTGATGTTCATACACTCTCCACCTCCAGTTGGAAAACTCCTCAATCGAATTGAGGAAAGGGAGTACGGTGGCCCACATGATCACATAGTGTGACAGGAAGTTCTAATTTCACCTGACTGACAATTACTGTCATGGATTTATCAAATGTTTCAAAAAACAATCATATATGACGTTCATGGTATCATGTTCTTGACTAATTTTGACAGTTGAACAGACTGTTGTGCAGATGATGACTCAGGCATTGACATCAGTCTGACATGTTTTGGAGAGAACAACCATTAAACTGAGAATTAACTCATCAGTTTAGATCAACAAGATCTATTTATTTGTAAAATGTGCTAAACATGGCCTCATTGTGCAAACTGTAGGTGACTTGTACAGAACCATGTGCAAAGATGCACTGAGACACTTGACACATGCACTAAGACGTTTGAAATTTGATGAAATCAGTGAGAAATGTCATTCTGTTGTGAACGACAGTAAGGTGGTTTGGAGATTTGTCCATGTTGTTTTGAGAATGTCATTTCTGTTTCAAGAAATGAACCAAACCAATGGAGAAAAACTGTAATTTGCCTGAATCGTGTTCTCTCTCTCGTAGACGTGGTTGTGTCTGATCGCTCTGGGACTGTCCTTCTTGGATCCAACGAGAAAGGCAACGGTGAGCACCAGTATTCTGATGGAGCGCCCCCTGGAGTCTGAGACCTGACAGTGCACCTGGAGGAGGAGGAGCGTGGGCCTGTGTTTTTGCACACCTTTGCACTGAATGTCTGAAATGCTGAAGCCAATTCTGAAACCTATAATAGACCTGGTTTAGTTCTGGTTCAGTTCTAGTGTAGTTCTTCATTCACACCTGCACATGAATCTGCACATGGCAATAGGGACTAAACCTGCACTAG